AAAAAAAAAACCCAACCTCCTTCAATCGCAAATATTTCGACTTCTATTCAAGATAGAAGCAGAAGGCTATTTTTTTTCATCCGAAAGCAAGGCAAGTGAAGAGGCTTTATGATGATACCAATAACTCCATATGCCCAAGAATTGACGAGCGTCTGATTCCACCACGTCGTGACGCACATTCTTACCCCCGTCATAGACCGGAGTCCGGGGAGAAACCAATAAACTGTCAGAGACAAGTCCTTCATTTTGTACTTACAGACTTCCCTCAAGGTGTTATGATAGTATCGTGATTATCGTGCTTCATATTGGGTGGACTCGGTACTACTTAGACTTAGGGGATAGGCGTGAGGAGGGGTTGGGAGGGGGGGGGAGGTAGGAAGGGGTGCTGGATGAAAATAGGAAAGCGAAGGAAGCAGCTGTATTGACACACTTTTGGCCCAGACTCAAGCAAAAGCGAAATACCTGTATAGAATATTATAGAATTATATGTTGATCTATCAACGTTAACGACATTCTATAAAACATACATTATTGGCTTGTTAAGTAATGTTGATCCCTCACATTCCAGGTGTAGGGAATGTTTGTATCAGAAGGTAGGGGAGCGTTAAAGTGACAGAAAGTTTAAAATACACCATAAAAGGTAACTATATGTTACATTGCTTCTACTTTGCGAATTTGTGCATATGTGTGTGTATATGTGTGTGCTTGTTTGTTTGTTTGTGTGCATGCATGTATGTGTGTGTATATGTGTGCTTGTTTGTTTGTTTCTTTGTTTCTTTGTGTGCATGTATGTGTGTGTGTGTATATGTGTGTGTATATGTGTGCTTGTTTGTTTGTTTGTTTCTCTGCATGCATGTATGTGTGTGTGCATTTGTGTGTGTATATGTGTGCTTGTTTGTTTGTTTGTGTGCATGTGTGTGTGTGTGCATTTGTGTGTTTTGTGTGTGTATATGTGTGCTTGTTTGTTTGTTTGTTTGTTTGTTTGTGTGCATGCATGTATGTGTGTGTGCATTTGTGTGTGTATATGTGTGCTTGTTTGTTTGTTTGTGTGCATGTATGTGTGTGTGCATTTGTGTGTTTTGTGTGTGTATATGTGTGCTTGTTTGTTTGTTTGTTTGTTTGTTTGTGTGCATGCATGTATGTGTGTGTGCATTTGTGTGTGTATATGTGTGCTT